GGAAAGAGAAGTCATTACTGATGCCATTCAGCTATCCAGCTGTAGGCCACAATGTTCTAAGTCACGGTTGGTGTATTTTTAAGACTTCTTCAAATACTCGAGTGGCACAGGTCACATTCTTCTGATAGAGGATGTTTCCACAAGAGTTTTGTGAGATATGGGTCAGACGTTTTAACTGCTTTTTTCAGCCTGTCAGAAGAAACTGGTAAAAAATGGTATCTCCTGTGATTTGGAAGTTGCACTCTTGTAAAGAGCAGGCTTGACTAACAGTAAAGAAACTATCAGGCTGTGCTATGCTGGTGACTGGTGTATTACTTGTAAGTAATCCTGACTTTTGGATTGAGTAAACCAATGGTTGCCACTTCCGTTAGTGCTAATCTATGTAAAAAACCTGTGATAAGACCTATTATGTAGCTTGGCTTGAAGGAAATGCTGTGTCGAGACTGACCCTTCTTCATGTTTCTGTTTATAGGGTTATGGTGAGCTAATGACATGGAAAGAAGCTAAAAGAGTTGGAGTAGTGTTTTATTCAGCATGGGCAAAATTAGCAGCCTCTTTGGTACGCAGTTTTGAGATGCTTTTCTATGTTTGTGCATCTAGTCATGAAATTTTTTGTATGTATACCAAGTATTCCCAAAGAGTTCTTGAAAAAGCTCATCAGGATAGGCTGTCAACCCTATAAATGAGCCGGACTTTGATTTTGCTGTAGACACAGTATCATGTAGCTAAAAAAAGTCTACCCCAAACAAACCAAACTGTTGCTTTCTCTTCACACTTAAATGAAATCTCCCCTTTTTTCTCTTTCCTTATGTGGCGATTACAAAAATAATGAAGTTTTTAACTTGTCATATTCTAAGACCATTTACTGAAAATCTGTGATTCTAACTTCTAAAGCTTAGCATACTGTTACAGAAGACTGCTGTCATGCTGTGTCCAAGGAATGGCTATCTTTTGTAACCATTAAAATGCTCTGTTTCTGAATTGACACTGGTTCCTTCATGGTGCATTGCTGGTTATGCACGTTATGCTGTGTAAAAAGCATGGAGCTGTTCAAAACAGAGTTCAAAATGTAGTCATTGGCATGTCAGAACAGAAGTTTACTATGTGATTGCTTAGGTGAGGAGCTAGCATGGAGGTATAGCTAAGCCTGCTCTTTAATGAATTCTCACATGGAAAACTGCCCATGTGTAGACCCACAGAGCTGATGAAAAACAGTTGTATTAAAATGAAAATTATCTGGTCTTGTAATTATTATTGAAATAATTGCATACATTAGTAGACTTAAAAAAAAAAAAAGAGGCTTTTTGAGCTGTGTCACAAACAAACTTGAATTCACTTCCTGAAATGAGGTAAATCCTGCAATCACTTTCATACTTAAGGGCATGCACTACTGCATCCTGTGCTACGGGAATTCAGGTGGTTCTAGGCTTCTTTACCAAAAATTGGTGAAATGCTGCATTGGCAAATTACCATCTTCTGCAATGCAATTCTGGAGTAATAAGGTTTTACAGTGTCTTCAGTAGGCTGTGAATGTGCTATAGAAAGCATGCAATGCTTATTGAAGGTATAGTTTGAGAATGGAGGGAAGATAAATCCATGCAGCTGATGACTTTTACACTTTATATCACTTAAGTTTCAAATATTTGAATCCATTGTGTGTATGAATAAATAATATTCATAGTATGGTAGTTAATCTGTTTATTTACATGCTATTATTCCACTGTCTGTAGTAATTCAGCCAGCCTGTTCTGTGTTTCTAACTCTCCTATAAAGCAGCAAAAATAATCTTCCTTGTTTAATTTTCATGTGCAAATTGAAGTAGGATGGCTAATTCCATATATATGTAGTTTTCTTATGGAACTTATACCTTCATTAGTACGTGTGACTTGAGGCAGTATCTGGTGGTGTTCTGCTTGTATGAACTGTCACATCTCCAAAGGACTTGTAATTAAAGCTGCTTAAGAATATTTGGGAAGAATGTCACCTGGAGGTAACAGAAGTGAATAGGTGGCTGAATGGTACCAAAATTCAGCTTAAGTAGCTTTCAGTCTTCTGCACGACACTATCTGACAGGGTGCCGAGAAAGCCGTGTGCCACACAGAGTTAAAGAGGGGGTGTAGAACATGCGCAGTGGGAGCAGGCAGAGTATGTCTTGTGAAAGAGCAATAGGAAACAGCCACTGGGAGGGGAAGGAGGAGGAGAGGAGCAGAGTTGGACAAAGGTTTCCAAGTGAAAACTGGGGGCCTTCACTGTAATGAAAGATATGGATGATGTCCAGGTGGTGTCCATGGGCAGAGTGATTACTAAGGGAATCAACTGCTGCTTTTTTGAACCAAGAGGACCAAAATTTGGCTTCTAAAAAGACGATTGCTCTCATTTGGGCAAACCTAGTGAAAGCATGCAAGCTTGGCAGAAGGATTGACAAGGAGGGGGGCAGGCTGAGAGAAACTGTGGGACGGAGAGGGATGGGATCTCACAGTTTGAAACCAGACAAAAAGGAAGAAACTGAGCAGAGCAGCACAAGGGCAAGCCCTGGGAGACAACAGGCAATACCTGTTCGCAAAAAAATGTTTAAAACTCTGCATGCATCTTGAAGCTCCATTTAATTTGTTGTTCAGGTTGTCAATCACAAATTCAGGAGTAATTATAGTTGGTGGTTACTAAAAGAGACAAAACCTGGAATTATTTTGTGGGCAAAAAAAGACTGCTTTTAATGACTCATATACAATTAGACTGGCTGCTAGTACAGCGGAAAGCATGCCCAGAATCTCCTGTATAAGCTTCACAAAGGCTCCATTTTGTGCTTCAGTTACAATATTTACCTGAAGGGAGATTTATTTGATTCCCCCTACTGTTATAGGAGACGACTATGTTATAGCAAGGGCTTGTGCCTTTTCTAGTCTCAAGCATCAGTCCCCACCTACCTTCTCAAAAATGGTAGAAATCGTACTAAATGTAGTATTCCCCTTGAATTGTGTACTTTATTCTAAATTTTTTTTTAGAAGGACTGGTTATGCTGATATAGCTGTGGAGTTTTCAGAACTTGTCGACTCACCTGAACTTTTAAACTAGTCTATGCGTCAAAACAGGAGAAATAACCTTAGCTTTAAATTAAAGTTTAAAATACTTATGATGGAAACTAATCTTTAATGTCTGTATCTTAAACTACATTATTTAAATCTTGTTTAAACATTCCATTTAATGGAATAAGGCCTTAACTGGCAATAAATACCTAAAAGTCTTATATATTGCAGATTCACAGGATTCTAAGATAGCTGTCTGAAATAGTCTATAGCAAAAGCAGTATTAATTGTCTAACTTGCAGGCAAAATGGCTATTTCCTTACTATTGTGGTTGGTTTAATTTTAATTGACTATTACTGTCTTATTAGAAAAATGTCTATCAAATTACTTTAAAGAAATACATAAAAAGTCAATCCATACAATGGATTGAGATATTCTACAGAATGCTGGGTTTTCACAGTGCAGTTAAGACAGGTAATAGTCTCTTGATACTCAGCATGAGTGAAATGCTATGCTGTCTGTAAGAGTTGGCTACAACTTCAGATTTGGAAGTTTGGAGATAATTGGTCTTTGTCATACAGCCTGGATTGATACTAATTAGTAAGAAACCCTCTGATGTCCACTTAATTTAAAAGCTGCCATGTTTCTGAAATCATGCACTTATACTGGAAAGACATTTAAACTATCTCTAAAGTGAAACAAGTAGGACTAGCCACATAGGGTCATTAAAAAATTTAGAATGAAAGATGAGGGGAAAAAAATGTAAAATGATCTCCTTTTTCAATTTCAAAACAATAAAACTTTAACTTTCTAATTAGAAAAAGGACATTGAGCTAGTTTCCTAGTTTATCCAACACATTTTCATAACAACAAAAATTTCCTAAATAAAAGGGAGCTTCTCTAGTTAGATTTCTCAGAGACTCAAAAATTCCACTCAAAATACTTTAACTTTTACATCTTACTTTTTAGATTAATAAGTGAGATAGGGAGTATCTTGTAAAAATCAAAAGTAAAATCAGATAGACTGTCAGTGATGCCCAAATATGTACGAAGTTCCTGGGAAAAGCACCAGAGATGTATACTGAGAAGGTTACAGATAAATCACAGTAACTGTGAAATACATCCACTAAATGGCTTTAAAGATATGTAGACCATTATAGGGAGGGAAAATTATATTATTTTTATCTCCATCAAGATCCTGATACTTGACTGAGGGCCACTCTAATTCATGTCCATTCCTATCCTTACAGCTCATGTAGTTTCTTCTGGTCGATGCAGTATTGGGATCTGGAGACTCCTGTTCCTCTAGCAAAGTAGTCCAGTTTTGAGCTTGAGAGATGCAGTCGGCATCATGTGCAGTCAAAAGATAATCATAGTTATGCATTCCATTTATTTCAAACAGAACAAATTCAGCAGGGACAGGTTCCTGAAATCTATTATTTTCCCCTAACTCAAAAATTGGCAACCAGGGACTTTTATTATAAAGCATGAGAGGACATCCCAGATTTGTGAAGTTATATTTGATCTGTAGATTGACCTGCTGTATATGTTTTCTGGCAAGAAAGTGTGAGTTGTATATGTTATGGCTGATTGTATAATTGAAATTCCTCAGTGCTGCTTCCTGAGTAAGGCTTTTGTCACATGCTGTTACATTTTTTACATTTCTGATGTGCTTTGTAGGTGGGCAGGCCACTGCAACAAGTGCAGGGATACCACATCAATACAACCGATTGGGTTGTCAGGGATGTCTGCAGTGACAGTAGACATCTCTTCATCACGTACGCCATCGCAGAAGTCAGCGCCTGCAAATTCAGAGAAATACTGCTGCTCCAGAACTATATGCAAGAGGTATTTGGTGTTTCCATCATATGTAAATCCTACTTCTATTACATATGCACTGAAAGCCAGCACATGGGGGTTGCTTGCTGTCACCAAGGGAGTGGACCTTCTGCCTGGTTTGGGCACAAATATGGCCTTCAACGTCAGACTTTCATGCATGGTAATGTAATAGATCTTGTTCCACAAGTCTCCCATGAGGATCTTCACAGTGCAGGACTGCTGAGATGTCCAGACTGCTAACTGCAAGTTGCACTTGCATTTATTGAAGTCATAGAGCTGAGTGAAATTGCTAATTACAGGGCTGAGTAAGGTCAGCCACCCTCTTTCTTCAAACAGCATCCCTGTGTTTTTTCAAATCTACACTCTTATCCTTGGCAATGTGCACCACGCTAGTGGCCCAGCCATGCTGCCATGGAGGTGTCTGTACTGGGTCAAGACTACAATCTGGGAGCCTCTAGCGGTCACAAGTAAGAAACCACTGTCAGGGAAGGCAGTGCTTTGAAGGGTCTCCAAGGGCATGACAGTCACTTCTTCCAAGCCATTGTTGGCCGATACAAGTAAAGTATCTGTTGCCCAGAGGATGATGAAACCCCTCAAAGCAAGATTCTGGATACTCCAAAGCTTAGAAGGGCCTTTGGGCAGCAGGTGGAAGAGCTATGGTTGGACATATGGCTGGTTTTGGTACCATTGTATCTGAAATAGGTCCCTGCTGCCTTCCCAGCCCCATCCTCTCCTCTTCTGTCAATTAGTAGGCCAGACATAGCAAAGGAGGTGAAATTGCAGACCCCAAGTAGCACTTCTTGCTCTCTTGTACTGGTGTGAACATGTGTAAATGTGTAACCCCTGTCCTGCGAAAGGAAGATGTGGCTGTCAGAAACTGAGTGCCTGGTGTTGTAAGCAAAAAGGGTCCAGCTGAGTTCCTTGTACTGGAGGTCTGCTCCTGTGTAGCAGCAATGGGTGTTTGAGAGTTCCTACATGGCGGATGTGACTCCTGCTGCTGGGACCCACCTGTCAAGGTTCTTGAAATACATGTAGACCTAGCCACTGGCAACCACTGAGACCCCCATCCTTGTGCATGAAGGCGGTGGCACTGACAATGGCTTCCTTGGCCTCAAGCTCTTCTGGGATGGAGAGCAGGGAGAGGCAGCTCTCAAAAGCATCCAGACTGATGAAAATGTCCTTCCGCAGGTACATGGCTGCCTTTGGCTCTCCCCCCTGCCCCCACTGGGGCCATGCCCCTTGCAGGGGTGCTGCAGGACCATGAGGTTGCCGGCACTGTAGCTCATGTGCGTGCCTCTTGCTGGCTTCATGCTGTGGCTGAAATGTATTGCGTATGCCAGCTGTGCGTGGCTGCAACCCAAGCCTCCCCCACGGCCCCACAAGCAGAGCTGCAGTCACAGCTCAGCCACCAGCGCTGAGGCGCCATGTCCCTGGTGCCTGAGGGCCAGCGGTGGCAGATGGGCTGGGGCTGGGGCTTCCCCTGGTGAGGCTACATGGTGGTTAGCCCGCTCCCCCCACCCCCGCCATCTGAAAGGCTTTTCTGCTAAGGGTTGCGGAGGAAGCGATGGCGACTGCCCTGGATGCTGCCAAGAGGCCAGCTGCAGTGCCTGGCTGGCCTGGGGTGGGGATCTGCTGAGGGGAGGAATTTTAAAATGAAGACAAGCTGCCTTCAAAGGGGTCTTCTTCAGCAGGTGGGTTTCCTCATGGACCTCCTCTGCCATTGCATGAGCACAGGGAAGGTATTTTTGTTGAGCAGCTGCACTATACGGCTTCATTTCTGGGTGGTGGTCAGGTTTTTTTAATGTGAAATTAAATCTGCATAAATATGTGATCCAAGCTTTTGTTTGAGTGCAACCTTCACCATCCCCTTGCAGGACAGCCGCTAACTGTGGGTGCTGGGGGTCTGTGTCCTATGTCTTATGAGGTGACCTGGGGTGCGCCCCTCATATCCGCTGATGCAGCATGGTCCGTCACCAGGCTGCGCCTTTTGATCATATCGAACGTTTGGATAGCACAAGGGGATCGATACCGGTTAGAGACCTGTGTGTCTAGGCAGTGATTTCATCCTAATTATTGAGGGGGAGAGGGGAATGGCCACCAACCACACTTTTTTACTGGTTCTTATGATGTTACCAGATCTCCTTCAACTATCTGAAGCTTGAGCCTTGTCCGAATTAACCACTAGATATTGCCATTAATTGCACAGAAGATATTGGCAGTCCTTGGCAGGGTGGGGTGTTTCTCTCTCCAGCAGCATCAGGGCAGTGCTGCAACAGGTAGAGAGGAAAGGGATTGCATTGCCCAACCCCGTGGAAGTGGGAGATGCTACAGGAGCATTGTATACCTCCTCAGTTATGCACGTACCTCTGATACTGAGAAATGTATTTAGTGGTTCTGTCGCATTGCTACTTCTTCTCATGTCTTTTCTTACGGCACTGGGAAGTTGGAAGATTGCTTGATTCTGCTGTTGCCTACTGTATTCACTGCGCATTTTATCAACAGCTTTGTGAGATTTATCTATGTTGTCTTTAGTATTGAATTCCTGTCTCAGGTGCCATGTGGAATGCATAGAAATTGCATTGCTGAATATAGGTGACTGCTCTACTTTTGTATCCCAATTAAACGAGTTGAGCGCTGCTGCCATCTAGTGCTTTTTCCTTCTAAATGTCTGTTCTGTCTCATCATGGTTTTTTTCTTTTTTTTTTTTTTTTTTTTTTTCTTAGAGCTGGATACTGGAGGTGCCAGGAGGTCCAAACTAGCTATAGGAGGAGAGACCGTGGGATCTAGGAGTCTCTCAGTCAACCTCTGTGTGTGAGACAACTGGAGGAGTTGGCTGCTAGAGGGACCAGGAGGTCCAGGCCCTGCTACCGTGGACACTGTGGGGTCTGGAGGTTGGCCAAGAGACCCATCTGTCTGTCTCTGTACGCAAAGCAACTGGAGATGAGAGGACCTAAGGGTTAGCTGCTGAGTAGACTGAGTATCCAAGGCCAGTTACTAGAGGGATCCACAGTGTGTGTGTGTGTGTGCGTATGTCTGTATGTGTGTTGGAGTGTGCAAGAGGGCTCCTTTGTACCAGCAACTGGAGCAGGGCTGTGGGCATTGGGTGCTCACCTGCCTAGATGCCTGCAGCTGGGGGAGATCAAGAATCCACGGGCCAGCTACTGGGTAAGCCAAGTGTTTAATGGTACTTGCTGGGGTACCCACAGAGTCCCTCTGCATATGTGTGTGGGTAGTTGGGGTTGGGGGGGGTCTGCATCAGCAAGTGGAGTGGGGCTGTGGCCCTCAGGGCTTGTACTGTTCAAGTGTCAGCAACTGGGGAGGCCTGGGATCCACGGGCCAGCTACTGGACAGCCTGAGTGTGGGAGGCCAGCTGCCAGAGGGGTCCACACTCTATGTGTTTACCACTAGCAGACCTTCATCCTGATCAGCCGTTTGTGTGACTGCTATGTTTTCCTTCTGTTTTGATCTGTGGGTCTGGCCACGCGTAATGTGTGTTATATGCACGTGTCAGTGTGTGTGTCTATTGGGAAAACGTGCTCAACCTCGCTACTGGCTGAAGCCAAGAACGTGGAGCTGCAGTAGCCTTGCCTCTACCAGGACAGATGCAGCAACTTCTAAGAGCATTTCAGTATCATTCAAAACTTCAGGTAAAAGAAAGGATGTGTGTGTCGGGGAAATGTAGAGAGCTCGGTTCTATAATTAGAAACTTTATCAATAGGAACGTTGAAGACCTATTTCTCTCCCACTGAGTCCTTACATAGGAAGTCAAACAGAATTATTATCCTACATGTCATAGATAAATATTACTGACTTTAAGGATTCCCAGCTTGCAGCTGACAAAGGAAATGAGCACGGATTCACTTGCAGTTTTGACTATGACTAGATTTTGCTCAGATAGAAATTCTCTAGTGACCTGTGCCTCCAAACATCAGTTTTTCCGTAATGAGGATTATGTGTTCCTTGGTTAATATGCTTTTAAAAAGTGTAGTCCTAGCTTTGTTTACTAACTAGCTTGTGAGTGCTCCTGGAATTATTGGTCTTCCCTCAGTCCAAAGTACATGAGAAGATTCTCTAAACTATGACTATGAGTGCAATTTCTTGTTTGGGAAAACTTCTTAGTATTAAGAAGTGATACTGCTTCTTGAAACATATATTCAACTGCACTTTGATTTCAGTTTTGAAATCGGGATTTGCTAGATTCAGCAGCAGAATACAGAGGTTCAAAGTAACTGTTCTTTGCCAGTTACTTATGTTTTGTGTTGCTCCAGAAGAAACAAGGTGCCAATACAAAAAGAGAAGAATTTTCACTTTTACTGCTTAGATTTGTTGAGAGTTCCTGTTCAGTAGAAATTATGTTCACTACCTGTGACCTGTGTGGGTCCCACTGCATAGGTTGTATTTTGAGCTGTTCTCAAATAGATACTCTTCCCACGTGTAACACAGAGTCATATATGTATAGCACGTTTGGTAAGAAAAAAAGATAAATAAAATCAGTTGGCTTCGGTTGTGCAAAACACTGTCAGAGCGACAGAGTGGAAAATACCTATGCCTTGGGGAGGAGGATAGTGTATAAACAGAATAATGAAAATGAAGAAAAAAAAAAAAGATTTCTTTTTATGGCTTTCCTTATTTAAACCTGAGGTCACATTAGCTACACGGTGTGAGGAAGCTCAGTTATATACCAAAGCTTTCTCACTGATTTAAAGTAAGTTTTCCCTCCACTGACTAAACCACAAAATCAACATTTCTGTTCTTCGGTTGTAAAATGCAAGTACGGCTGCCTTACTGAAAACAGTCACCCTGCCAGTGAGAGTGCTTGGAGGAGAATGGAATCATATGTGGTACAATCACAGCTACGCTCAGGTTAATGGGGACAGAATTTATCTTCAACTTTGTTCCCAAAGATAGTAATGAAATATAAAGCCAGGCTTCCAACTTTACTCAAAAGATCGAATTTTAAAGCTCATCATCTAATTCAGTATTTACTGTGATACAGAGCTGTCTGTGCTAAAGTGTCATCTAGCCCAGGGATCAAAAGTCAGGTCTCTGAATTGCAATGAATACAGTAGACACTCCTGGATGCTTTTCACTTATTCTACTTTACTCCAGTGAGATAAGGGATTATTTCTGAGTATATTACAATATGAAGATGTCTGCAGTAATGAAATCCACTGAGGGAACGCCAGCCTTTCTCCATGTGCACATTGCCGTTATTTCAGTCACTTGAAATCTTAATGTTTGCTGTCTTTTCAAAATTACCCTTGAATAATTTAATGGACAAAATTACTTCTATAGAGTGAAAACTAGACTGGAATAAAGATAATTTTCTCAACACTTCT